ATTTAAAAGTAAATTGAATTCACTTATTTAAAAAAAATTGAATTGAGTTCATTTATTAATCTCGTCACTTTAATTATATTTCTTTAGATATCTATTAAAAAAAGATAAATAAATATTTTTAAAAATTAGTTTTAACATAAAATTTCTACTTTTTAAAAGTATAAATGAGTACTAAATTATATTTTAAATTTAATTCTTACCTATAAAGTAATCTTAATTGTGAGATTTCATTAAGTTACAACTATGCTGTCCCTGGAACTCAAAGACTTACAATAAAATTAAATAAAAAACATTTAATGATAATTTGAAAGCAACAATTAATAAATGCAAATTCGTTGTATTTTCCTTTAAAAAAGATAAAGTCCTTGAATGAACCAAAAAGCTTCCACTCCAAGGCACCACCACAAGAAAGAACCCGATAAATCCCTCACTCCTCTCTCATATCTCCATCTTCTAATAGTAAATAAAGAAATCGTTTCGCTAAATAAAAACAGAGGAACGTCGCAGCGTTTTCAATTTCCATAATCAAACACGAACTATGGGAGGAGGAGGAGTCATGAGAGCAGCGGTCAAGGTGGTCGGAACTGGAGTGGCCAACGCCGGAATCCGCCGGGGAATCTCTGGTGGAACACCGCCGGTGGAGCAGTCGATGCGCAACGCATCCAGTCCAGTTTCGGCGATCATGTCGTCGAAGGCGAGTGGAGGTGAGGTCGCGGCGGGGATGCAGAGGCCTGCATGGGAGGTGGATGAGTGGGAGTTATCTGGTGGCGTTGAGGAGGAGATGGTTGTGGATTCGGCTGAGCCGGTTGCGAGAGTTGTTTTCTGGGATGCCCCGCCGAGTTTGCAGGAGGCTAAGGCGGCTACTTGTGAATTGAAAGATGCTTTGCAAAAGTAAAGTTTTGATCTTTATTCAAAATTTCTCGTTTTATTTACTTGTTTCTAATTTTACGTGATATTATTGGGCTTTTCTTTTCCGTGTATAAATTTTATTTGAAATTATTTACAATTATGGGTTATTAAAATTCTTGTTTGAGAAATTGAAAGTATGAGGCTTTGATTTTTCTCCCATCTGGTTTCGGTTTGTAGAAACTGTGATTGATATAACCGAAGAAATGAAAATAATGGAACTTAAATCATACTTTGTTTGTTGAATGTATAGAGGAAATGAAGCCTTACCTTTGTAATTATAGTGGCTACTGAAGAAGTTCTTAGAGATTTTCGAACACTTTCTTGTTTCTTATTGAAAAAAAAAAGAACAAAAATTTGCAAGATATTTCAGAGTTTTGGATAATTTATTGTTTCTTGAATCTTCGAACTTCAGGAATTGAAGAAATGATTTATTTTTCGCATTAAATTCCGGTTCTTTCGCTGCCACGTAGGTATATTTGGTGTCATCATTTAGGTTAGGTTTAAATGGTTGATTGAACTTTGCATTCTATGTACGTATGATTGGTTTGGGCGGAGATTTTTAGATGGACCTCTTACTGATTGTTCTGTATATCTTTCATAGTTTTTGAGTAATGCGGTGTGATCAGTTCCCATATCAATTCCTTTTATTTTTATTGAATAATCTCTCATCTACTTTTGAGATGTGCGAGTCAAGGTAGACAGCGTAAATGAAGGATCATACATCGCAACTTGAGTTTGATGTAACTTCTTAGGGCATGGGGCCAAAATGCACGGTAATCAGAAAGTTCCAGTATACATGCTAACAAAAAGCTGTGGCTTTTCTCTTCCTTTTGGGAAGCTTCCAGGCATATAAATACTCTCAAGAGAGAGTGTGTGTTTGTGTCTGTGTATCTTTAATCTCTTTCTCCACTATCATTGCACTTTCGTGGCAGGTGTAGTTGCTGAAGTAGTAAATATTATGAACTGGGGATGCATTTCTTAGAGGGGCAATCAAATACCATCCTTGAGGAATGTATGTTCCTTGATGTTTACTCATTTCTTTTGTGTTTGAATAGTTTTGCCTCTGTAAGATTTCAGAGATCTTATTCTTATTTTTCTGAAAATTGAGGCTTATTTGTCTCTGCAGATCATCTCGTTTATTACTTTTCTAGATGAGCTGTCTTATACAAAGTTGGCTCAAAAATGAATGTGTGATGTTTTGTTTAAGTTATGGAACATCAGTGTTGCCAAAAAAATTTTATTAGCTATGCCATTAATTTACTTTTTGGCCTTTTGTTCCTTATATTGATTCTGGTGGCCTGAAATTGTATTTACCTTTTCTTGACTTTATCGTCTTTCTATGCTGAACTGTTATGCACAGAGTATATCTGTCGTCTCCTAACTTGGGAACTGGCAGTTCACTTGGAGGTAGTCAGCTGTCTGGCCACTCGCTTACAAACTCTGAAACTAAAGGTTGTATTAGCTGTGATCCAAATCGAGCTCCTGTGCCAAAATATGCTATGCAGGCATTTTCATTGCTTAATGAAAGTCCTAAAATTCAGGTTCTGATATATCTCTCTCCCCCTTCAAGTTGTTCTTTCCTTTTCTTTCGTCCTATTGCTTAGACTATTTCGTATTCATGGTGAAGTAATTTGACAATAGAGTTGTTGCACAAATATGTGTGAATGTAGTTTGCTCATACAGAATTAATTTAAGCTTCAATTATGTTTTGTTGTGGTTGATGATGCTTGGTATTGTTAGTTGCAATTATTTTCCTAGCTTAACTTTAAGAACACTAAGCTGTCAATGCATTTCAAAAACCCCTGTGATTTCTCAGGGCCTGGACCATGCTGAGAATATATAACTGATGTACCGCTTTGTTTTATAAATTATAAGCCCCTATATATAACCTGAGGGCTTTTAATTTGATTGGATCTTCAAGGCCTCTTGAACATTTTGAAGTGTATTTTCACATGTTCTATCATTGCATCCAACATAACCTGTCTTTTGATTGATGAAATCAGCCTATGGGACTGTAGTTCACTGACTTTAGTACTATGCCCAGACTGTGGTTGCTGCCCTTGCCTCTGATCCAAATGTCTGGAATGCAGTTTGGGAAAACGAAGCCCTTCAGGAATTGCTGCAGTCACAGAATGCAAGTAAGTGTGCCCTTTTGTCTTTCAATCCACTAGTCTTTCTTATTATTTTTTATATTCCTGTTTTCTATGTCCTTCTGTTTTGCCTCTGAAGCCTAGGAATCTGTTGCAGATAAGGAATCTGTTGCAGATAAGGAGTCTGTTGCAGATAATGAGTCTGTTGGAGATACTGACTCTCAGGATGCAGCGGTATCTTCAAAGAAGCTCACAGAATTATCTGATGATGAAAGTGAAACTGGAAACTCTCAAACTGGGCTCAAGGATGTCATCAATAACGTTAAGCTTACTGTGGTTGACATGGTGACAAATGCATCTGCTTACTTCAAGAAGATTTTTAGCTTTTCATCCGCAGAGCACACACCCGATGCCGCAGATGAAAATGCCGAAAATGCCGGATCATCTACCTTTGAGATGACCCTGGGCTCTCTCATGGCTTTGGCAGTGATGGTCATAATGGTGGTTGTGCTGAGGCGCCGTTAAAACTCTATTCATTGGCAAGCCAACCTGTAAATTTGCCGATTCTACATGCAACTTTATCTGTGTTTTTGGATGGTTGAATGGATGATGGGATTGATGCCAAAAAAAGTTAAAAGCTGTAACATTTTAGCTTGACTCCTTACCTAAGTAATGATCTATGTGCAGCTTTCAATTTATTTCAATTATCCATCCATGGAGCCATAATCTCCTGGCAAGCCATCTATGAGATTCGATTTCTTATTTTCGAGTGTTCTACAGTTTTTCTCTGTACATTCACATAATTGAATTAATTTTTTTTTAAAGTAAATTTTGAAAAAATAATTTTTTAAAAAGTGAATTATTTTATGATATTTGGTAATATAATAAAAAAAATTAAAAAAATATTTTGTAGTGGTTATGTAATAGAAAATAAGTTGAAAAATAATTTATTTTTTTTAAGTTTATTAAAATAATAATAAATAAATCTTACAAATTAAAAAAATTGAATAAAAAATTGAATAAAAAATTGAAAAAAAATGAAATTGAAAAAAAAATAATTTTATAATTTATCTTAAATAAAATAAATAATCAAAATAATAGAGATCAAATCTAAAACATAAAAAATTAAAAGATGAAAAAATTAAAATAATAATAATTAATATTTTATAAATTATTTCAAATAAAATAAGTAACAATCAAAAGAATAAGGACCAAATTTGATAGATAAAAAATTTTAATAAAAAAATACTAGAATAAAATAAATAATAATTATAAAAATAAAGACCAAAATTAATATAAAAATTAAATTTTAAGAGATGAAAATAAAAATTAAATATTTAAAATAAAATAAATATATAACAATAAAAAATTTGAATACCAAATTTGATATAATCAGTAAATAATATGATATTTTTAAATTTTTTATAATTTTTAAAAAGTGTTTTCCAATCAAATTTTTTAGAAAAATAATTTCTTAGAAATCAAGTAAATTTTTTTAACTAAAAAATATTTTTTTTAATTAATTTTTCTAATGACAAATACAAAAAAATATATATATATATATATTTTAAAAATAAATTCCAGAAAAACATAGCTGTAGTCTTGAATCTCTGTTCAGGGACACAATTTTTTTGACAAGACGTTTATTTTTTCTCTTGAATTTGGTGAATCTAAATTTATTATTTTATATTTTTAGTACCCTTCATTTAAGACATTTTGTAGATCCAAGTGCTTTTATTGCATGCATCAAGTAAAACGAGATGCATGGCTAGCTAGCAACATTCCAATGATATATACAAACAATTGTTTACAATTAAAATTGCTGAGGACACGACGACTATGCTTCAACCATCCACTACATATGATGATGCTTGGCATACAAGAGGAATCGCATAACGGCACCAATTCCATGCGTAAATCCGAAAAACCAGCTTTATTCTTCTAGGGCAACCACTTCTTGTGCAATCTCTCTCCTGGATGAACAGATAAAAGAGAAGAACATTGACAAGAATATATCCTACTCTTATTTATATTTCTTGAACAATTGAGTTGCTGTGTCTCAATATAATTCCACTTCAATTCATGGAGTTATCGTCAAGGTATTTATGCTATCAATGCACCACTTTGGTGCCATCAGTATATTTTACCTGGCTCGACTATTTATATTTCATCGTCCTTAGAATGCAGAGATCAAGAACCATAAAATTGGCACTTGAAATGTCTTATTTCAATCTACAAAATTGTGCAGGTTACATGAATACACTGGAAGCTCGTGAAACAAGCACAGGCAGATGGCCATCGTCATTTTCAGGGCGGGGGGGAATCACCCATTGAAGCGCAACCATTCTGCATGGTTCTCTGATTATACCTCGCTACTAATGTACAAAATGTCCTCCTTTTCCAGATGCATCTTTCCTTTGTCTCTTTTACTTTTGACTGGTGTCCGATCTGGTTGACCTCGCTGGACGAACAAATTTTACTTTAGCCTTTTGTAATTGAGGAAACAAGTGTATCGTGACTACTCAATCAAGGAATAAACATGTATACTGATATGCTTGCCTTTTTCAAGACAAAGGCCAAGTATAGATAAGCTACTTCCCATTCATCTGGTGAAAGCGTGCCTGGATGCCAAAGGGCACAGAGACTCAAAAATCAGCATGAAAAATGGCCATTTCATCATGCACCAAATTCAAAGAAAAAGCAAAAAGATACATAACAAAGACTTACTAAGGTCTTGGTTCCCATCACCCAAAGCACCGAGTCTTCGCATTAACTCAACATTTTCTGGTTTCTTCATATTCTCATGCACGAACTCATGATTATTCTTAGCAAAAATCAGCTCAAAGTCATACTGCCAAAGTTGAAAGCATGCGTGCAAAATAAGTGTATCTAGGTAAATGCTTAAAAAGCTTCAAGTGCAACCAGCTTTTAACACCAGCAAAATACATTGACAACTTTGAAAAGATGTTGAAACCACAGGCTTCATTTCCTGCATGGAGATTTTTTTTTAAAAAAAAAAATACTTCAATTTTTTACCTCTTCTGCCAAAGCTTTGAAGACATGGAAGGGCACAATCCATTCAGGACAATCAACAGCATCCTGCAACAGAATCATGGGTATTAACATCATCAGGAGTTTAGAATGAAAGTCGTCACCTAAACCATATAAATTGAACTAAATGACAAAGTAAACAAAGAATTGGAGTTGGTATTTTCTGATGGATAGAAGGGAAGAGAATAATCAGGTTACAATCTTGGCATGTGGTAACTATCAAGTGTCGCATAAAAGCACAACTTCAATCGATGCAAATACACGATGAAATATCAATTACAAGCTATTCTACAGAACATCTGCTTCTAGAGAAACTAGACTTAAGTAAAGGAGAAGAGAAGATAATGCATAAATACCTCTAAATGGAAGTAGTACTTGATACCAAATGGGCTAGAAGATCTGAATTTCTGAACCACAGAATAATGAGCTTATCAGATTTGAGGGGAAACAAACAAAATGCCTGTGATATTGAAAAGAACTAACCTTCTGAGAAAACTCTTCATCAAATCTTACCCAGTACACACTATTACCAAAGGCCAGTCCTTCAGCTGCATATTGACATGAAAAAGAATTCTCTGTCATGAATGGCAAAAATAGTCTTCCATGCACATTAATCTTAATTCTTATATTGGAGGTGTGAAAAAGAACATTTTATGAGAATACTTCAAATAGATTGACTCTAAAAGATCTCAATCAATTATCATTATCCCATGAATTCTTTAAAAGACTCCTCGTTGTTTCATACAGCGTAAACAGACATGCAATGTATCACATTAATAGCAAATTTCATGTTCCGATGAAGGTGCCTCTGGACTGGGCTTTTATATTTGTCGAGTCAGAAAAAAAACACTATTTTTTTGGTTAAGATTCATAAATCTGATCATTTGAAGTTTTTTTCCCATATAAAGAAAATATTTGAAAGGAACAAAACAAAAACCTTCTCTAAGTTTTTTTATGATAACATTGGCATCTGGCATTGTTCCAATGAAGGTTCCTCCAGGCCTAAGTATGGCTGATATATTGGCCAATGCTCTCCGTGCACGTGCCTCTGTTGACCATGAATAGTGCAAGGCAAACTGCAAAGCATGTTGATGCTTCAGAATTAAGTAAAACCACACACACACACACACAAAAAGTTGAGGAATCCTATGGATCCATATCATGATTTGCATAATTAGAGCACAGACAAAAGGGAAGGGCAAGAACTTGGGATATAAAGATTGAAGCACAGGCTAGTTCCTAGGTCTCTGCGGCCATATTGTGCCCTTTTAGAAGGAAAGATATGCCAAAAAGAGCATGAAACATGATGATTTTAGCATTCTCAAGATTCTAGAAAAACAATGTCAAGAGGACGTTTTGTCCATATATTGCAATAATATCCATTATCAAGCAAAGTAGTTGGGAATCCTGTGACACAGCTCCAAAATTCCCAAGGTCAGCATTTTTGAGTCATGAATAGCTCTAGGTTCGGTGAAAAAATGAATGTTGGGCAGCTGCTTCAACAGATGCTGATTCCAGCACCATGCTACAACACAAGATCTCATTAAATTTTGAAAATTGAGATGGTAATCATAATTCACCTGACAACTGACAATATCAAAAGGAGCATCATCCACCAGGACTTCATCCAACTGAAGCTGAAACATGAAAAACTAAGATTCAGTTACTTCTACAATGAAACCAAAATTGTTCATCAATTTAACTTCTGGACGGCACATTCAAGCTTCAACCTACTTGTTAGATCCAAATAGAGGGTAGCATACATATAATTAAAATTAACAAATCACACTTAATGTAATGAATTTGTCGATGCACCAGCTGTTATAGCTGAATGTACCTCAAAACAATCCCCGCATATAAGGCGGGCAGGGAAAGTGAACTTTTTGCGACGTTGATGGTGGTCTGCATCACCATTGTAACGCGTCCGGCAATCTTCCATCTGCATCAACAGTTGAATACATACAGACAATGACCATTAACAACATATATATTTTAAGCATAAAAGTAGATATAACAGGAGATTGAAGGCACCACTTTTTAGTATTAAAGATTTAGGCACTAAACAATATAAATAATCGTATTCATGGTATCTCATATTGCATAGCATGTACTTGGAGATCCAAACTTAAGCATTTACATACAGACAAAGTGTAGCCAGGCATTTAAAAATCGAAGCACCAATTACAAGGACTTTTGATAGTTCATTTTGAAAGAGAAGTAAATCTCTAGGTGGTATGTTTACCGAGCCTTCAGCTATGTCAATGCCAACATAATATCCAGCCTTTGCTTTATCCCATTTGATGAGATCACCACCCTGGAGAACAAAAATGACAACAGAAGATAATTCCTAACAAAATAAGGAGATGTGAACCTTCCAATGCAACTGATTAAAGGAAAGGGATGCACTCTTTACCTTCCCGCAAGCAAGATCAAGAACAGCATCTCCTTTAGCAGTATATTGTTGAACTAAGACACTTTTTATCTGTTCACAGATATGATTATGTTATTTAGACAAATTATCACCTTAAGATATTACTAAGCACTGGAATATGCTACATACCCAATTGTTAAGTTTCTTTAAATGGATAATTGGGCTCGCTTCTCGTTCTTCCAGAGTCTGATTCGTCCTGGCACTATAATGGTCAGCCACTCTCTGAACAAAATCATTAGAAAAATCCGCCTCACCTGCAATCACAAAATTTAGCCCTCAACTTTCAGAATCCTAAACAAAGCAGGAAAGTAAAAGGAAGTTTATTAAGAAACCATTACAATCCTAGATTCTTACTCTCTTAAACCAGACACAACCACGAATGACATTAGAAGTTTTTTTTTAAGAAATAAAAAATCTCTCCAGTTTTCTATACCAAAAGAACACAGAACCAAAAACCCAATCCCAGGTCCCAAAATCAATACCTTAACTGAAACAGAGAAGAAATCACAAATCAAACCCATAAAAAATATAAACACAATCAAAAGTCGAACCCCATAAAGCAATTGCATTCTCATTTTTTCTCTGATTCTAAGAGAAAAACGAAATACTAGCATAGAACTCAAATTCAATATTTAATCATCTCCATTTCCAAAAAAATAAAACCAAAAGCTAGTGGCATACAAAACCCAAGTCCCAAAACAACACCAAGAACCAAATGACCAGCAATTAAATCCACTGTAACTGAAAATGAGCAAAAACTTACAATTTTAAAGTTTCTAAACAACGAAAACCCATGTCAAAGATACAAAAACAAATCCAAAAAAAAAACAAGAAATCAAAAAAGGGCATTTAAGCTTGTGTGAAAATAGAATCACCTTCAGGGGTGTGTTTCAATCTGGATTTCGGTGGGCCAGAAGCAGAAGAGTTGGATGGTGAAGTTGGGTATCCTCGTTTCATGGCAAATTATTGAATCGTTAGTAGTTATTGAAGGTTGTACAAATAAAATTTTTTAGGGTTCTAAAAAGAGAGAATTAATGAAGGAGGAGAGAGGATTTAGTGGTGTTTATACTAATGGAGTTGCTTTCTTTCTAAAAGAGATTAAAAATAGAGACCTTAAACTAAGGGTGTGTGCGTTTTTTTGTTTTTTTTTTTGAAAAAACAAGGTCACAAATACAGGTATGTATCAATTTGGTCCCTGTACTATTTATTTTTTATTGTCAAACAATCTTTCAAATGCATACTTATAAGTCAATTCTCTTCCAATTCATAATCATAAATCTTTAGGTTTTGATTTTAGCTTGTGTTGAAAAGGTTAACTTTTTTATTTGAGATTTGCTTAAACATAAAATTGGATTATAGAGAGGTACAAATTCACTAGGTTCTTAAGGTTCCATATTCTAGCAAGGTTGTAAATTCTTGGAGTAAATTTCAATTTGTTTTCAACTTGGCATATTCATCCTCTTCCTGGCGCTTCCTAGCTTGTGCAGGTATGCTAAACTTAGATGTCCTGAGATCTTCTGTTTTAATGTTTATGAATCAGGAAACCAAAAGGTGTGCATTAACGCTTTAACTAGCTGCGTGTGGGGACATTCACTGTGTCAATATTCCCACCTTCGATTTTTGAAGGGAAAAGAAAAGACTGAAATGAAAACAGGAAAATCAGAGAAAGAAAGAGTTATTTACGTGTATATGGTGACTAGAAGTATACTTTTTGCAGGTTATCTTTTAATTTGAGTCTACTTTTGAACCATTCAGCAGAAGCTTTCGGTATCCTTGTAAGGTTGTTTCTGTTGCCTGAGTTCCATTCCCGTTTGTCCGGACCACCCAAAATAGCCTCGAACATCACAATTGTCTTGCCTGTGTTGATTTAGTTTTCTGTCAGATTGCCCAGATGCGCATTGTCTCAAACGGAAGAATCCAATTCTGAAGCCAAAGATGTATGAACCTAACACAATTTCCATTACCTTGTAGCTGCAGAAATGCTGGAGGGATGGTCCCTGTGGTATTCATTCTCTTGTCGTCCTGTAAGGTCTTGTTTAAAGATATAAACGGTGTATTCAGATCATCCATTCTTGCAACCATGAAGTCAGTTTTATGCAACAACTCTTAGTTTTAGCCTAATGACATTTAATTAAATAGGAAACAATTGCCATTTTCTGCTATAATCACTGGTGAGTTCCCATACTTTCCTTTCACATATTTGAGCAATTTATGGATGCCCCATGGGACAATGTGTGGCCAGAGGGAAGCTGCCTGGAGGAGGAAGTGCATGTAAGGTGACTCACTTTAGTTTGAAATATATAGCAAGAGCTTAGGGGCCAGTAAGTTGTTGGGACGTACTAGTTCTCCGATTGCAACCCCACGACGATAAGCTGCGGTTGAGGACATGAACAAAGATGGTCAAGTCATTGCCTGATTATGCACTCTTCCCAAGCATACAGAACAGTACTTTATATTCTTACAAGTAGCAATCACAGCAGCGTAGGATGATGCATCCGGCAATATTAGTTTCCGAATCCATGTCCTGTCATTCCGAATATATAATATTGTGTAATGATTTATGCCAACAAATTCCAAAGAACCGACTAAGAGTTTCGACATCACTAGAGAGGTCAAAGGTAGTCGTTCGCCCACAAGCTTTTTCATTGAGTGAGGATATTTTCCAGAGAAAAGTGGATCCAGGAACCTGATACGCTTTTGATGTTTTTATATTAGGCCCGTAAGAACCAACTGATTCCTTCCCAAATATTATGAACACAACAAAGCTTCCGTCCAATTCCAAAATCCACTGCTCTTTGTGCCGCATCTTTGTCCTCATCAACATCAGATAGCGCTTTCGTACCACTTGGAATCTAATGCTATTCCATGGAGACCTCCTTGCTTTCCCTGGAAGAAAATATTTTCTATCAGCTGTTTTGTTTATAAAAAAGAAATTGATTGGGCCACCATTTTTATATGCAGGAGTACCTTGAAATGCAGCTGATAACACCAATAAGCAGCGGCACGCGACAAGAGGAAGTTGTGAGCTCCAAATGTATGGCTAGTGGACGAATTCCCCCTCTTACAATGTAAATGAGCAATGATAGTGTTGTTGGTTCCCTAAACATATATACACCGAGAAAATGGTAAGTTTTAAAAAATAGCAGGAGTCTTAAGATCTCGTTACATCATCTAGGATCATGGATTACTTAAATATCATATCTTTAATTTAAGGTTCAATTAACTTAATTAACTTCTCCATGCTAGGTTATCCCAGATAACAAATCATTTAAATGTTTGATTTTTAATATCCGAATCATTAATAAAAAAAATTTAATTTTTTTTTAAGATAGAAAGATTGTTATGCACATGAGTATTAGTTTTCTTTGTTTTATAACTTACATAATTTATTTTTATATAAAAAAAACATAACATTTTATTTATAGAAAAAACTCAATAACCCCATAAATAATAAAATACCACTTTTTTCCCTAAATAATATCATATACATTATTTCATGATTATTTTAAAACTTTATTCAATCAAGATCCTAACTTGATTTTTTTAGGTTTAGAATTGTAATTTCTTGTATAAATTACATTACATCTCTCAATTTCTAAAACTTATTTACATTCATTAATTATTTCAGTTTAGTTTTTGAACAATGATTCTTATTTTATGTGACCCATTAGATTTCTAATATGTTGGCACAAATATAAATCATAATCCTAAATTAAATATCATTAAATAAATTAAATAATTTAATTTATTATTAATTTAATAAATAATTGATCTTTATTTGAAGATTAAGTGCATTGTCTAACAATGTGTCAAGATCCTTTAATTATTAGAAAAGTCATAAGTGATTTGATTTAATTTTTTAGTACTGAATAGTTTTTCAGTGTAACTATTATACCTTCATTAAAAAATATTCTAATTTAGATATTATAATATAAAGTGTGTTTGTTTTATCAAATCATGTTTGTTCTCAACACTATAGACATTGATTTTTGAATAAAATTTAAAAATCTTTTCAAATCTCATTATACCTTATGCAAAGATTTCATAATCAATACTATTTGAGATTATATGAAATATTTTTTCTAATCTCTCTTTATCACTTAAATACATTTATATTGTTTAGATTATACCCAATATTTGCATATTTTATTACTTTGAATTATAACAACATGTAGTCGGGATCAAAGTATAACAATCCTTATATGATCTCAAGTATAATAATCACTTACACAATTACCACGTGAGTCTTTTTATAGACACCAATGATCTCTCCATACAAAATTCTCATGCGGGTTAGTTCAATGTATATGTTATATAATAAGTATTTACATATTAGGTTAAGTATTCTCTCTTTATCATTGAACATATGGATCATTTTTTCTAATTCACTTAAGAAGATGAATGATTCTGTTTTATCACTTAAATATCTTCATATAGTTCATGTTATAACTAATATTTTTTTTGGTTATCCTCGATTAGAACAATATATAGTTACGATCAAAGCACAAAATTTCTTATATGATCTTAAGTATAAGAATCACTTACAAAACTATCATGTATGAGTCTTTTTATAGACACTAATAATCTCTCCATACAAAATTCTCATATAGGTTAGTTCTGTGTTCATGTCATATGACAAGTACTTATTAGTTCAAGTATCTTTCGTACCTTGGTTTATAAGAACAATTACTTTCTTTTATAAAGGAAAAAACATAACATATATCAATCTCTACGACTTTAATTAATGTCTAGTCTTAATAGAGTATAAAAAAGAAATATTTATGAACAATTATTTGATACAATATAAATTTCATAATTATAATAACTTTATAATTTTATTTGCAGAATATTTTTTCCTAAGGATTTATTTTCACTCTAGATTTAATAATAAAATATAAATGAATATTAAAGATATAAAAAGCTTTTATTAATAATAAATATGCTTTTATATGAATGTATTCGATGTCACATATAACCAATTAATTAGTTATATGACATATTTACTAATAAAAACGCCTTTTTGATTAACTATATGAGGTTTCAATGTTTAACTTTGTACCCAAAAGCTTGGAAACATGTGAAGATATAATGCTCAAAGTCCAATGTGTAGGTGATTCATTTGCTTTTTGTAAAGCTTGAGTGTGTTCTTAAAAAAATCCTACATTTAGTTATAGATTTGTAGTGTATAGAGTATTACTTGTATAATTTATTTACTCAACCATCTTTTATATATTTTCAAGCCTTTGTGGAAAATCTCAATGATATAGAGCTATAAAAAGCTAGATATCTATTGGAAAAAAAAAGGCTAAAAACTTTATTACTACTTTTACTTAAATGAGAATTTCAAGTGACTTTTATCTATAGGTAAACTTTCTCTTATAAAACATCTATGAGTTAGTTGTAGTAACTTCTTCCTTCTTGATTTGGCATCACAATCTCATTTGTTAATCATAAAATCTTAGGCATTTAGTGATAAATAGATGGCTCAGAAGAATATAAAATGAGATTTATGGTCTGGATTGTTATATAATTAGAAAAACTATTGGCCAAGATATTAATCATCTGTAGGTTATATTCCTAAATCCTTTACGAAATTTATATCACCCCTTTTGCTTTTTTATTTATTTTATAATCTCTTCTAATGGAAAAATAAAATATTCATTAAGCCCTATGATAGCATTTTAGTAAGAAACAAGCCTTAATTTTTTATAGCTTATTAATGTTTTTTTTTCTCAATTTAAAACCACTTATCTTCTTACAATTTCTTAAACTATTTTAGGTTTCCATTAGGTTGTTGACATAACATCATCATCATCATCATCTTATTATCTATATATATAAGAAGATTTTATTGAATATTCTTATCCCTATGAATTCTTGTCCTCAATGATTGATCATATGCTAATTTGTTATCCCATTATTATTCAATAAACAAATTCATCAATATAATAAAATATATTTGTTTTAAACTTTCTTATAAAATATAAACTAAAAAAATAATAGTAAATGACTTTCTCAATCAAGCAAAATAAATTAAACAATAAAAAAAGATTAAAAAAAATGTAAAATTAATGACTTAAAGGTTAGTTACTACAATATTTGGAAGTTACTTAATCAATGTAAGCATGTAATTTACCTTAAACTGGTGATATTGATCAATAACTTCATTTGTATCCAATCATTTAAACTAGCTAAATGGCTAGGTTCTTCTTCTCTCTCTCCTCTCTCCCTAAACTTTTTTCTCTTGTCCCTTTTCAACTTTTCAATCCTTTTATTTCTTTAAGTCTAGCTATCATGCCTCAACATATGCTTTTATGTATTTTTAGTTTCCAGGATCATATCACATAAATTCTTTATATGCATTATATTTTCTATATAAAACATGAGCCTTAATTCTATACCAATAATTTTTTATTTTTTTTGGAAATGGTAATCACCAACTTCTTTACCAAGAATAACATGCACCACAATCTCCTTTAATGGTACAACTCCATTCTTCATGCAAGCACTTATAACTACAATAGTACTCTCTACTCTCCATGAAATAAATTGATGTGATTAAGGTCTATAAATACCTTATTTATTAGATTACATAAAGAAGAAAGATAATTAGATATTTTTCTATAAAATTCAATAAGCTTCATATATAACACACTTTTTACAACTTTATATATTTTTTTTCCTTCTATATTTACTAACTTAAGTATCAAAGTGTCTTATGTTCTCGTATAAGACTTATTTTGGAGGAGTCACTTAGGCTACAAATAAAAAAAACTATATTTAAAATCAATCACAATCTAGAATGCAAATATAAAAATCCTAATAATACCCTAGAAACATTTTTCAATATTAATTCCCTTCAAACTTAAGCTTTGTTCATCTAATTGCCTACTAAAAGTATCTCATTTGCTATCTCTCTTGTTTCATTCGTAACTTCTCAAACTCACACAAAACATAATACAATAAAATTAAATTATGTTATACATATATTTATATTTATAATAATTCATGCATTGAGTATGAAAGACATAAGAGGTAGTCCTAAATATGAATCCATTAGAAAAATATGCTCTTCTAATAAATTCTAAGTTTACAAAAGGCATGTTGCTAAAAAGATTATGATTAGAACTAATATGATATTAAATATAGTGATCAAAATTTTTTGGTTTGGAAGTTTTTAAGGAGTAAAAATATTGGATATAATTAAGCAAATAAGGATTTTATTTTATAATACAAATAGAGAAATAAGTTATTAGTACTAACTAATTACTTGGTTGTAAAGTTGAATAATATATAGTTGCATGTGTTTTAAGGACAAACATCCAGGTTACTCTTGAATTGAAAGGTGGTAATAAGATATGTTTGAATAGCTTTAGTATGTTAGTTTAAAGATTTTCTTAGCACCATTTGAGTGCAAGTTAATATAATAAAAAAAATAATACAAGGATATAAAAATAAGAACAAATTTTGAAGGATTTGCTAGAAAAAACAAACAAACAAGGGATGTGAGTTTGATACAAAAGATAATCAATAGGGCTTTATTTAATCACTTTATTTTTATTTTTTAAAGTGGGTATTGAAGGATGATTTAAGTTTGGAGAGATTAGTTTTAGCTTTATCATAATTCTTGTGACTATGGTGATTTTTTGTTTATTTTGAAAATTATATAAGGACTAAAACCATATTTTTATCAAATAAATCAATGCTTGTTTATACATTAAGAATAAAATCATAACATGATCGAGCAGAAAAAAATGGCCAATGATAAAAGAAATCTATAAAAATAGAATATGCAATTAGTTATTAGGCAATGATAACTATGATAATCTAGGTGTCTAATCCATATATGGGGAAGAAAAAAGCTTCGATTGATAGCTGACATGGATATATATATATATTATTGGCATAATAATGTTAATTGTATTCTTTTAATTTGATTGTTGGATCAAACTGAAATTTTGACAAAAGATTTTAAAGGTTATGTTTTCGATTGAGTTAAAACTTTATGATGATTATGGATTCAGAAGACTTTCAAAGAAGGCTCAAACATTATTGTGCGAGATTATATTTATTTATTTTATTGTATTTGGATTCTCTTTTCTATTTAGCTTAAAACTTTTAATTTAATTGATATTTTACTATTTATAAATCTTAATTTTATATAGATTATATTAGTTACGTAAGTTTTAATTAGAAATATTTTTCTATAAAATATTTTAGTTTTAGTTAGTAATCATTCCTATAAGGGATTTTAGACCTAATAGCAATAGAGAAGTCTAATTTATTTTAAGATTTTAAGACTTTTTAAATTTTTAATAAAATATTAGAGAGTTTTCTTTAAATTTATCTTCTATAATTTTAAGGTTTGAGATTCTAGTTTTTATCCATGCTATCTATACCTGGTTTAAATAGCTAATGGCAAGCCTATTTAAAGAAGGAATTTAGGGTGCATGAATTGTTGTTAAACAAAACATAACAAATGTTTATGAAAGTAAAACAAAAGGTCGAGTGTCTGGTTGTAAATGGCATAAACTATTACACAAGTCTCGACTTATTATAAGCTTACAAACATCCGCTTGTATAAGTTGCATAAAAGGCACTTGCAAACAAGCTTTGCTTGTTAAGTAGGGTCTTTGAGAGCTAAACCAATAAGTTTTGGTATACCTTTTATTATAATTTATTTTTTAGTTATTCCCCACTTCATATTATTATATATTTTTTTAAAATGAATGATCGTCATGACGCCACACACATATGACACTTTTTTTATACTATTTTTAATGAAATATAGAGTATCTCAAGCTAGCTTGCATACACCAAATTAGATTTTTATATCCTAAATAAAACTTATAAAAAATGACTTATATCCTGTGATTAATGGCCATTACTATTAGTGGATAGATGGAGTTGAATTGAAAATCACATATAAAGTATACCCTATCCACTTTACGAACTTAGCCACCCACTATTAATTAATTTTTTTTATATATTCATCGCTGGTTAAAGAAAAAAAACAAATAAAACACCATCGTTTTAATTGTGGAAATTATAAAAAAGCAAGCTATATAGTGTAATTCAGTTAGAAAGCAAAGGTTGAGAATAATTTACAAAGACAGTTATAGTTTCTTGTTGCTGGAAAACCATTTCGTCATGGAATGGCCTCCAATAAATCTTTTAGTTTCAGGGATGACTTGTTACAACAATTTGCTTGGCTTGTTTTAGTAAATTAATTTGATTTTCATGTTATTGTTTTAGAATGGAATTCAAAATGAATACTTTAAAAGTTTGGGAATAATTTATTAGTAAGCTAGTCATAGACGACTTAGTCTAGGTGTGTTTGTCTATATATAGTATGAGAGTTAGCCCAAAATAAAATAAAAAAAATCCATTAATTTTTTTTATTTTAAATGGCCCAAATAATACAATCTCTCTCTCTCTCTCTCTCTCTCTCTCTCTTATAATACAAAATTAATTGGTACAAATAATACAATATTGCTAGAGAGGTATAGACTTGTTTTTTCGATGCAATGGAGTACAACGTTTAGACCACGCAGTTACAATTATAAAATATTTAATCATTGAATTTGAACTTTACAACTCAGTAATTATGATTTTGTGTAGAAGGTATAAACCTAATTAGGAGAAAAACAATGTAATCCGTATTAATTTTTAAAATATGTGACTCAAGTTATTAGACTGAAAGCATTCTGTATGAAAAAACTATGAAATTTAATTTTTAATTAATCAAATATCGAATGATGAAATTAAATTTTTTTTAATTATACAAAAAGATATAAAACAAAAAATAACAATTAAAAAAAATAATGATTAACATTAAAATAGAAAATAAATTTAATCTTTGATTGAAGGGTGAAATTGAAGAGAAAAATAAATTTAAAAAAATGATAAAGAATAATTAAAAAATAAGAATCAAAATTGAAATAAGAAATGCAAATAAGTTTTTGATTTGAAGGTGAAAATAAAAAAAAAATCAATTCAATAAAAAAAAATAAGGATCAAATTAGAAAAAAATAATATTTAACAAATTGAGATTGAAGGATAGAATCAAAAACAAATACAACTGCTATAAAAGGGTGAGGAATATAAATTATAAATTAAAAAAATGAAAATTGAAGTTGAAATATTAATAACAAAAAGGGACAAACTATGATTTTTAGATAGGAAAAAGAAAAAAAAAAAAAACCCACCAACAATAAATTTTCATGCCAATACTGACACATGCCGCATCAATCAAAAAATGACATGACAATATTTTTAATAACATGACGAGAATAGTTTTGATTACTAAAAGTAATCACATATACATACACTTTTTTCCATTAAAATAATATTTAATCTATACAAAAAGATCAAATTGATCTTCATTAAACCAGTGATAACAAAAAAGTACAATGAAAAGACCAAAATATTCTTGGATAAAAGTCTTGATTTTAAAGATAAAATTTTTATTTTACTTTGTTTGAAAACTTCTTCCTTATCTGTTTTTAAAATTTTTATTTTACTTTGTTTGAAAACTCCTTTCTTATCTGTTTTTTTTTTAAATTATACTCTCAATCAATTATTTAATTAATAATAAATTTTTTAAAAAAATCTAAATACTGCTAACATCAAGATATTTCATCTTTTTAGGAGAATAACAAAAACATAATTCTATATCTAGTGTTTTTCAATGTTAAATTAGTTTTTGTTAATAAAGTAAAACATTCCATCTTAATCTATTGGGCCTAAAAGATCAATCTACAAAAACACAGCCCAGCCCACTATTCCAAAGCTTGGCATTTGATATCAGTATTTGTAACTTAGCCCCCAGACATAAACCCTTTCTTTAAACCATCATCCCCTTCTTCCCCTCTCTCTCTTAATCTATTGCTAGCTAAAACCCTTCACAAGCAAACAAGCCACGATGGCCATGAGAGCAACGACGGCGGCTTTGGCTGCGGCAGCAGCAGCTCCTCGTGGCGGATTTTTGCGTCTGTTTTCAACAACTTCCACTTCATCCTCCTTCCCCTTTCCTCAGACCACGCAGCAAACTCCTGCACGTGAACAGGCTGAGCCCAACACCAATCTCTTTGTATCTGGCATGTGTCTCTTTCTTCACATTTCCATAATTACTTTCATTCCTTTGTTCTTTTCCTCGATTCCCATCTGGGTTCTGTTAGTCACTTTGCTTGCAATCTTTACAGGGTTGATATTGTCAATATAATGCTAGAAATGAAAGGAAAGACTTAAAATTTATGAGATCTGATTGATTTTTTTTTCTAAATTAAGAATTATTAGTAAGATTTTTGTGTTGTTTATTTGGTTATGAGCCCTGTGATTTTGATTGCGAGTATATTGATAGGATGTTTAATTTGCTACCTTATGTACCGAAAGAAGTTGTTTGTTAAAGTAATTCAGTTAACACAAACTAAATACAAACCTGAAAGAACAGGAGGCTAGAATTCTCCTTAATCTGTATATACTGAAATTACACAGTTTAATCTAAATACAAAGAGATTATATACAGGTTAAACTAAAAATACTATTCTCTCTTAATAAATAAAACAAGATAAATATATTATTTAACAGTTTTTAGTTTTTGTCTTTGCCTATTAGTACGTCCAATTTTGTGGCGATGTCTGTTGGTGATTCGATGATAGCCCATAAATGCATGGAAGGTTGAAAAAAATGTGTGCTTTTTTAGCTGGTTATATGTTAATTATTTGCAAAATAAAAGTAACTGGTACTTGCAATTTAGGTGTTGAAAACCTACAAAAGGTTGAAAAAAATGTGTGCTTTTTTAGCTGGTTATATGTTAATTATTTGCAAAATAAAAGTAACTGGTACTTGCAATTTAGGTGTTGAAAACCTACAAAAGGTTGAAAAAAATGTGTGCTTTTTAGCTGGTTATATGTTAATTATTTGCAAAATAAAAGTAACTGGTACTTGCAATTTAGGTGTTGAAAACCTACAAAAGGTAGATTTGGATATGATCATAATCACACATTTGAGAAACTAGTATATGATATAATATGCTGATATGCTTGTTATGTTGTTTGGCTATGTTAATGATGGTTTTTAGTTCAAGAGTTGGACATGCTCTAGAATTTATCGGAAAGCAGTTGTGGATTGTGATGTACGCGCATCCATGTCTTTCTTCGGAGGCATTGGTCACAATCTTATATTTCTTGCATTGGTTATAAATTTTTAGTTTGAAAGGATATCGGTATTATTCATGATGATGGGAGTTGAAAATCTCTGAGAAGTTAGAGATTCTTATAGCAGTGTGAATGGATGGACTCTAGAAAGCTTAGATGGAGAGAGGTCTTTGTGAGAGTAATCATTGTTCTTGATGTGTAGGAGGGATGGAGAATAAATTGCATGTCTTTTGGATCTGTACCAATGGGTGGAAGTTTGGAAGGGCATTCTGAATACAGTCTGCAGAATTTCTTCAGTGGTGACCTTCAAGTGGTTGGATAGAAAGAAGGTGCTAAGACTAAAATGAGAATTGGAAGGCAGTGTTCTTGTGCTGGCATAGCTGGCACTCAATAATGCTTGCTTTTGGGACACAATTATAATCTGTATGTAATACTCAATATCCCGGCTAAAAGATTGTACAGAAATTTCCCCTAGAGTACTGGTTAAAAATAATAGAAACAGAAGCGTATCTTAGTGAGCAGGAGCTTTTTGGAAGAATTAAATAGTTATTTTGGACCATCCTCCTGGATGCATGAGCTGCGGGATAATGATATAGGCATCCATTAAGGTTGTGTAGTCTAGTTTTTTTGTCCTTTCATTTTGTAAACCAAAGAAATATTTCTTTCTTTGTCCTTTGATGGTTATGAAAACCCAGTGAATGTAATTTTAACTTCAAGTCAACTTCTTAACATGTCAGAAGTTTTATTTGATGCCTCTATGATTTTGGTTTCAGGGCTAAGTAAAAGAACAACTTCAGAGGGACTGCGAGAGGCCTTTTCTAAATTTGGTGAAGTGGTTCAAGGTTAGTCTCTTCTTTTCACAAATGTTTTTCAAAAATTTCTTTTTTGGATTGCTAACGATTGCCTTTCTAGCTTTTTACAGCTAGAGTTGTAACTGACAGGGTCTCAGGCTATTCTAAGGGGTTCGGTTTTGTCAAATATGCTACTTTAGAAGATGCTGCTGAAGGAATAAAAGGCATGGATGGACAGGTGAGTTTTACCTGGCTCCTTACTCTTGTCCTTTGAGAGAAGACTCTGGATTTATTACTGTAATGACTTCCAAGTGGTTAGGATAAAATGATGTGTAGTTGTTAGTATAGCTCATAGCATGATCAGTAACTCGGAAATTCAGTATGGATTCTGTGCAGCTTCTTAAGTCATGGAACAAGCTATGAAATGATCAAATCTTTGGAGGAAAATCCAAAACTTAAAGTTCAATAAGAATTCAAAAGGATTCACTAAAGAAAGCTTGATGCTTCTCCAGTTAAACAGTGGTAACGTGGATATCTAAGAAAACTATGACAGACATAAGATTGGTGGTTCCATATGTTGAAGCCTCATAAAAACCGAAGCACCTTTCTCAATGTTTCCTAGGTTAGCTATGATAACTCATAACAGTGGCATACATCAAGGTTTGTCAATGGGGTTGGGGGCTTGCACTTTTGCTCATGGGAACATATATATGAAATTGGTTATTCTTCTGCCACTGTATCTGTTATTGTTATCTGCACTTTGAAGATGCTTAATTTCTTAGCATCTCTTGAATCCTGTTCAGTATGTTTCAGCTAGTCTTCTAACTAGCAATCCAGCTCATCAGCTTACTGTCACGCTCATGCATGTTCCTTCCATACTTTTGTCTTAGGTGTTCACCAAGCAACCTGAGGGTACCATCTGCCTTATGCTAGTGCAACTTCTCTCATTAGCTCACCAATCTTATTGATGCAATTGAACCTGATCAAAAAGGAAGCAAAGTACAAAGAAAACCGAGATAAAAAAAAAAGGGGTCTCAATAACAAAAGCCCTAATTGTATTTTTATTACTGAATTTATGTTTTACGATAACTAAGTGTCAAGGGACTAAAAGTTATTCTCTATCACCTTTTCTTTTAAAATTCCTTGTTTTTTCTATCATATAATTAAAAGAAACCATCTTATTGGACATAGTAAGGTCTATGACTCAAGTCGTGGATCTTTTTCCTTCTTTAAAACATATTAGCAGTGCCTGAACATCGTTTATGTATGTTATAAAAAATTCATTATGGCCTGCAGTGAACTTGAGCCACCTATTTACTATGATTATTGTGAAACTTGTTTTCTCGTGTTTTTATTTTTTTCTGGGGTTGTTGTTGTTGTCTACTTTTAATTTCTCTTTCTGATATCTGTGTTTGTAGTTTCTGGATGGATGGGTTATATTTGCAGAGTATGCTAGACCCAGACAACCACCTTCTGAACCTCAAAACAACACAGGCATGGGATTATGGAAACAACGCTACTGATCGCTGCTGGCAGTGACTCCTATTGTCAAGGGATCAAGTATGTCATTCTTCAAACTAGCATGGCCAGCAAGTACCATTTATGAATTCATCACATTATTGTGGTTTCTCTTTCTCAGCTTGGAACGATCAATATTTTTTATATTAACTAACTGTGAGCAGCTTGAAATTATAAATTATGTGGATAACAAACTGTTCCATGCGTGAGCATGCATATCTAGCAAGTACAATTTATGAATTATTGACACTATATTCGTCCTCCATGTGCATCTTACAAATCTTGGTGCTCCATGAACTCACGTTAAATATATCTGAATGTTGCATCATTGAAAAACTTGTTAGAGTGCCTCTGAATTTGTTCATAATTTTTATTTTGGGAACAGATGTTACTGTCTGGTGTCCAAAATCAGTATATTTTCTGCAATGTATGCTGGAAGTTCAATTGGGTATGCACTGAAAATCCGGTGTTCTTTAGTGTTCTTCAGAGGTGCGCACAAGCAGGATGGAATTGGTTATTGTGATCCGTCTTTATTTATGGTGTCTTCAGTATTGTTACATAGTAGGACTATACCTTTGTTTTTGCTGGCTTGAAAAAATATTAAATTAATGTTTTTTTTAGTGTTTTCTAATAATTTTAATGTATTGCTATCAAAATAAAAAGAATATAAAAAAATTATTTTAATGTATTTTTAAATAATTTTTTTTTTTATAAAATATCCTGCGTTATAATATTATATACACATTTCATCTAATTGCTTGTTATTATGTAGGAAACTTTGCATCATAATATTATATATATCAAATTAACTTGTTTTAAGTATTTTCTAATAGTTTTGATGTGTTGGTATCAAAATAGAAAAATCTAAAAAAATTATTTTAATGTATTTTCAAGTAAAAAATATATTTATAAAATATCCTGAAATTAATGGTTTTTTCTTAAAAAATTATTTTTATCTAAAATACTAAAAGAAAATAATATGAAGAAAAAAATAATTTTTAAAAAATCTTCTTTAAAAGTGCTTTTGAAATATAAAAATAAAAATAACAAAAAAAATATAAGACACATTAAAACAATAAAAATAATTGATTTATTCAACTAAATAAGCTTCCACACTCAACACAATGAGAAAAACATGTCCACTTGATGTCTACTTTGCAGCCCTTGAAGAATTATCTTCTCATATAAAAACTTAATTACAATACTTTGGACTTACAAGTTAAATCTTGCAGGCCCACCATCTCTACCTGCCATCATCTCAGCTTCTTCTTCTAATAGGATTCTCTCTTTCTACTGTACCAATTTGCTACGACTCTTTCCATTGTAATTTTGTGCACGACATCAAACATTGGCAATGGACAACCTTGTCTAGGTTTAGATGAATGCAAAGGAACAACAACTCGAATTATCACAGTGAGATATCTATTTAATTTCTGATTGCAAAGTACAGTTGACCTAGAAAAGGAATGAATGCTATGCGACATTATTTTTCCGAGTAGGACAATGGGCGTGAAGAACTCGCCTTCCCGTCGACGCGACGCAACAATTTAGATTAGCATCGAAAGGAACTCCACAGAGGACTTCTCAGTACGTCTAAATCACCCTTCAAAACAAACAAGATATAGTTACAGTTGGAGGAGATTTGATGGAAGAGAACTACATAGAAGATGCAACAAATTCAAGGCGTCTTGGTTTCCTGAGTTATTACCTCGCTTTTAACCTTTTTAATGTTCAAGTTTTAAGCAAACATATAAAAAATATTCTTACCCACCACTATTAGTTGAATGAGGTTAAAATGAAGTTTTATGTGTGTGTGCAACTTTATTGCGTAAGCCAGCTTATTATTATTATTATTATTATTATTATTATTATATGTTTTCGAGTTAACTTGTATCTACTTTAATTATTTTTACAGGTTTTAAAGTTAATAATGATATTAATTTTTAATAATTTAAAAAATATTTAAATTCATGATAATTAAAAATAAATTTAAAATCTAAATAACAATATAAAATATATTTTTATCCATCACTAGTTGTATTAGGTAGGTTAAAATGAAGTTTTATGCTTGTACAACTTAACTGTGCAAATTATTACTATTATTTTTTATATTAATATGGATGTCCAATTTAATTTTTATATATCTCTATTAATTTTATAGATTCTACAATTAATTATCACGTAAATTTCTAACAACTTTAAAAACACTCAAATGGATAATCATTAAAAACAAACTTAAGAATCTGAATAACTAAGTTATTAGGAAGTATAAAAGCCAGCGTATCATTACTAAGATGCATGATGGTGAAGTGAATATTAGACGATCCATGTATCATAACTTCGTTTTAATTAAGTGAATTCATTATTCATACTGTGCAAGTCAAAGTCCATCTGGGAGTATTCGATAGGCTACACATGCCGAACCTGAAGCAAGAAGACGTGATAAAAAAAAATATTTTAATTAAATTGGTGCTAAGAAGTTATTTTTATCAAGAAGGTACACTTTCTTTAATATATATATATATATTTAAATGTTGTTGTTAAGAAATTATTTTTCTCAAGTAAACGCACCTAAGATGATTATTCTAAGAACAAATAAACAACGTGAAAGATATATTATACGTTTCTTGCAGTCAATTAGTTAAGAGTACCTTCTTATATAAACTACGGAAATTGAGATATATATTTTATTAATCCTAAGATGTCATTCAATAATTTAAAGCTTGAATTGAGGATTTAATCTTATATATACTCCTCATTTAATCTAATTAAATTAATTATTTAAATAGATGCCCTTAAGAGAAATAAATCTACAAAAAAAGACTTTCTATACAGATCTTCAATCTCGAGTGACCTCTCTCTCTCGCTCCAACTTCGCCCGCCGTGATGAGCTATAAATTGAAATCATTCATCAAAAGGTGTTAGCGTTCATTAATTCAGCAATATAGAAGTGATTTTCTTTTTCTATGTGAAATTGAATCTCACCACTAAACGGCTGTGTTCATTCGGCAATGGCCAAGATAGGAGACCGATAATTATAAAATAAGTAACTTTATCTTCAACATACGAGGATCCTACAGTCTTACCATTTTGTTTTTTACATCAACTTGATATTATATAAATTTTCAAGAGATTGCTCAGAAATTTATGGAATTCAAACTAATAATTTTTTAAAAAATAAATTTAAAATTTTACAGGTTAAATTACACCTCCAACATTTTCTTATTATTTTTTGTATGTAGCAGCCAGCAGCCAGCAGTGGTTGGACCATGAGCTTGATGACTACATCTTTCATTAAAAAAATGGTCCAACGTTGCATCCGTCTGACAATAAGAAAAGAAAATGGCATCATCGTCTGATAATATTTACAATTATCCTATCCTATTTGACAAATGGGTTTTCCTTTTTTTGGGGCAAAATCTATCATATGGGATAATTCGAGATCTTCTTTTTGTTTTGATAGCAATTTGACCCTGTGTACATTTAATATTTGATTAAAAGCTGTAAACCCACATGGCCTTGCAAGCAAATGGACTCGGAGATATGATAGGCACGAATTTAATTAGGCTATGTAAGGGGCATCCAATCAAGTCATTTCGAGATAGAGATATTATTAAACGAGAAGGTGCTTGAGTGAGTAGATAACCCATGAAGCCAGGAAAACGAGTCAGCTTGATTCAATTATCAATTTAACTTCATTTGGTGGCAACCCCTTAATTATCAATATAATCTTCTATCCAACTTTTGAAATGAAACTTTTAAGATTATTTCGAAGAAAAAAGAAGAGTAACTTCTAATCTTATTGGGGTGTGAGGTTAGTGCATTGATCATGGCTTCCTGGATAAGTCATCGTACGTTATTTTATATAATTAGTCGATTCCCTATGTATTTCTTGACTTATTATTCATATTTTATTATTATTATAATTAAAATAAAATATGAATATTTTTTCTTCTTCTAATGATGTTCCAATTGTTTAACTCTGGAATTCCAAAGACGAAAAATAGTTACATGTCCCTGTTTTATTTGAAAATGACAAATAAAAAATGTGAAAAATACTTCAATTCTATTGGAAGCCAGTAGACCAGCTATAGTACTGTTACAATAAAAAATGTTAATTGACTCTAGAGACCAATTAGCTCATTTTAATTAATAAATAGACAGCACACGTACGGACAGCACACGTACGCCACATATTATTAGAGAGACTTACCCTAGGGTTATCGAAATTCATGATTCTAATAAGAAGAAAGATCGTATGATTTTATTTATATTTAAAAAAGCCGAACACCTCAGATGCACATCTATATACATCCATCCGAGGCTTCTTTTGAATCCATATATAAATGTTTGTTTTTTATTTTTTTGTCCCTAGTGTTGATACACATAGGTGATCACCAATTGCCAATCTATTGAAAAGAAGTAATAAAAGCAAGTTTTGAGAATTTGAAAAAGGAGTTGAAAATTCAAAATTTCACCTGAAAATTTACCATGCTTTTTACATCCCAATTGCAATGCTATTAAATTTGACCTTCCACTTACCAAAAAGGAAGAAAAAAAGAGAATATATATATATATATATAAAGGATATTTGAGATCAAATTAGAATTAAAATCTTATTAGAATTTTCCATATGAGCTCTTTAGCATGTAATATTAATGTGATTTTAAAAAATTATAGGTGATTAAAAAATTAATTTAAAAAGCTTCTAATTAATATGTTTTAAAGAAACTCAAAATCCTCTAAAAATTTCTTTTCCATATAAAAAAAATAAACAAGCTTGGCTTGTTGTTTAAATAATAAAAATATAAAAATTTTAAATTTATCACAAACAACCCCTATCTTTTTAGATGAAAGAGGATCCAAGAATAATAGATATTAAGCTTAAGCCATATATGCATGAGCGCGCGCTCATGTCTTCACTTATGCTTGAGCTTTAGTCATAAACCCAATATTAGGTTTAAGAATAAATGATTTATTTTTAATAACAATAAAACTTGATTTATTTTGTTTAATAATTAAGTATCTTTTTTTTATTTTAATTAAAACATATTAGTATTTATGTTATGATTGTGTTTACATGTCTTATGTTTCTTTGAATCTATATTGTTTATTTACATGTTTTATGTTTCTTTGAATATATATATATATTTTTTTTATTTACGTGGAGTGTCCGGGTCAGCTTACGCACACCACGACCAATTCTCATGGTCCACTGAACATCCTGCAAGTCCAGTGAGCAAGTAAGACACCGCGGGGATGACATGCGTGCACAATAAGGCTCGAATCCAAATACAGAAGAAGGGAACAAATCCTTTCCATCGCTGG